GCCATCATGGATTATAGTAGACCAAAACTCTAAAATATTGGATTACACAAATTATTCTTTGTGGACGGAAATTTGTTACTTGGATAAAATGACCAAAGTCATGGGTTATAATCCAAAAATATTAGGAGACTTTAGAGTACCAAAAATATTCTCTATGAGACGATAATTTGCGACTTGGTCGAAAATGAACAAAATTATGAGTTATAGTCTACAACGTACAAAATATTCTAAACGAGAAAATTTCTGATTTGGTCAAATAGCCAAAACCATAGGGTATAGTCCAAATTATTCAGGAACTTTAGAGTACCAAAAAATGGTTCTATGTAGGAAGACAATTTGTGAGATGGACAAAAATGGCCAAAATCTTAGTTATAGCCACAAATTTTGGAAACTTTAGTTTGAAGCGTGCAAAAAAGAAATTTCTATGCGGGAGGACATGCGAGAGGACAAAAATATGGGTTCATTTGATTAGGTCAAAGATGGTCAAACTCATGGGTCATACTACACAGAAATTAGGAATTTCTGAGTATGCATAAAATATTTTGTTTAAGGGAAATTACGATTAAAATCTACGGTTATATAGTCCACAAAAATTTAGGAATTTAAGAGTATCATATAATATTCTATGCTAGACAACACTTTCTGATTTGGTTTAAAACGACTACAGTCAAGAGTTATAATACACATAAATTCAAAAATAGAGTACACATAATATTATCTACGCAGGACGGTAATTTGTAATTTAGTCAAAAATAGCAAAAATCATGGATCATAGTCCATGGAAATTCTAGAATTTAGGAGTGCACATAGAATATTCTATGCGAGGCAGTAACATGTGATTTGGTAGAGAACGGAAAAAATCATAGGCTATAACTGTAGGCGTCAAAAAATGCTTACAGACGTTCAAACACCACTCAAGATAACATAGAAGAACATTATACAATAGTATATGAGTATAAACTATTTCTCAAATTCTTCGACAGCAGTTTTAATTCGAGACTTCGACAACGGTCACACGATAAACGCAGCACCGGAGGAATTTTAGCTATTCTACAAAGCTCTGAATAGGCTAAAAGATGAAGAAGTCAAGGATTGAAGCCATTCACAAACCGTTCTGCGCAATTTCCTCAACGAAGCACTGGAGAGATTGCATGGAAAGCTTATCATATCCAAAGTGTCCCAGACCCCTCTCTAAGAAATGATGAGTCTGAGATACTTTGGAAAGGCGCGGCAGCCTATGGTGCCGCGGCTTAGCCGCTGCAACCTATGGTGCCGCGGCTATTACAAGAAGATGTTATGGCAGTTATATGGCAGTTATTCGATGATTATTTGAAATCCACGTGGCGGCATATCAGAAATAAAACGTGTGCTGACGTGGACGAGCAGTTAAACCACGAAAAAGGTGGTTAAAGGTCATGGGAGAACGGTTTCAAACACGAATGAACGTGGGTGTAACTGCCCCTTTAGCCGCGGCAGTGTCGACTGCCGCGCCCTTTAGCCGCGGCAGTGTCGACTGCCGCGCTCTTTGGCCGGACAGTGTCGACTGCCGCGCTCTTTGGCCGCGACAGCATCAACTGCCGCGCCTAAAGGGCTAGTTGCTGATCGGCTATTTCTTCAGTTATCGTCCAAGGAGGCTATAAATACCCCCTATGGCCATCATTGACAGGGGCTGAGCATTTTCCAGAGAGCATTTTAGAACAGAGAGGCTTGAGTTTTGGTGAATTAGAGCAAGAGAGAGAGTCTTCCTTCTTCACAAACGTCCTCAAGAAGCTTCTGGCGATTCCTAGAGATCTAAGCTCTGACTTGATCTTTAGAAGAGTGAACATCTTACATCGATAAGATATTCGCTTCAAATTCTTACTTCGATAAACGAAGGAAGAATCATTAAACCCCTCACGGTTCAATCAGAATCTGTGATTTGGTGGTCCACGAGTCAAAGCGCTCCCGACACAGGCAAAGATCCCACGCAAGCAGCGATCCAAACAACGATCCTGCGTTTGTTTCTAAAAAGTTGTAATTTTCCTTTTGTTGTGCAAAAGAAGTCTTATAAAAAGACTATCTCTTTTGAATTTGTTGTAATCGACCGAAGATATAATGAATTCCACAGCGAAACCAACTTTTGACGCAAACAATAACCCACAAAAATTCAAGAATTTCAAAGTACCCAAAAGTTATTCTATTTCATGCAAGAATACAATGATGATTTGGTCGAAAATTTCATAGTACAAAAATCATTCTATAAGAGACAACTTGTCATTTAGTCTAAAATGGCGAAATCATGGGTTATAGTCCACTGAAATTGAAAAATTTAGTATCACAAAATATTGCATGGTAAACATGGGCTATACTACAAATTTTTTTTTTTGAACTTTACAATTTTTGAAATTTTGAAGCAAAATGTTATATTATGATGACATTTGTGATTCGGTCGAAATCACCAAAATCATAGGTTCTAGTCGGTAGATATTTGGAAGCTTTAGGGTATCCATAATATATTCTATGTGGGACGACAACTTGTGATTTGATCAAAAAAGATATTCTATGCGAGATGACAACTTATGATTTCGTCAAAAACAACCAAAATCATGGATTATATTCTACGAAAATTTGGGTATTCATAAGTATTCATAACATTCTACGTGGGGCGGCAAGACGACCAAAAGCATGAGTTATAAACACAGAAATTCAGGATTTTTGGAATATACATAATATATTCTATTTTATGCTAGAAAACAATTTTTAGTTTAGGAATGGCAAGAATCATGAAATGTAGTCCATAGAAATACGAGAATTGAGAAGTATACATAAAATATTCTATTTAAGACAACTTGTGAATTGGTTGAAAATGGTCAAAATCATGAGGTAGTCTATAGAAATTTTGGATTGCCAAAAAATTATTCCTTATGAGAAGCTAATTTGTAACATTGTCAAAAATAGTTAAATTCATGGATTATAGTCCACAGAAATTCGAAAATTTTGGAGTATGCAAAAAAGATTCTATGTGGGAGTGTCATCTTGCTTGTGATTTGGTTGAAAACAACAAAAAATATAGGTTATAGTCTGCAGATATTCAATAATTTGTTCAATAGGCATAAATATTTTATACATGAGGCGACTTTTAAAGTGTGGTTAAATGCACAATAGGGTGTGCGCCTCAAACGTTGGGTGTTGCGATGTGCTAACGAAGCACCCATAGCAAATGTAGGCGTTGTAGTTGAGGAGTGCACCCGTGCACTTCTGGACCACTTCACGGCTCTGTAGAGGCATTGAAGAGGCGTCGCTTCGCTTATTCTTTAAGGATACCCATTTAATATCAGGTTCAAACACAATAACCCCCTTAGAACCCATTTAATAAAAACCATAAGAGAGAGAGAGAGAGTTAGGGCAAAATTCTTTTTCCAATTTTGAGATAGACATTGATTCCTCTCCTTCTCTTTCTCATGATTTTCGGCTGTTCTCGGTGTTGATCAATCGCCACCGACAAACCAATGACGACCAGATATTCAAAGGCGACGATTGATCAACACCGAGATTCAAAAGGTCATAATAAGGAGTAATAGTTCACAAAATTTTAGGAAAATTGAGTATGCGTAACATATTCTATGAGAGACAATTTGTAATTTGGATAAAAATTGCCAAAACATGATTTTATACAGAAATTCAAGAATTTATGAGTACGCAAAAGATACTTCATTCGGGACAACAACTTGTGATTGAGTCAAATGCAGACAAAATCATCGGCTAGTACACAAAAATTTCAAAATTTTGGATTACACAAAATAGTTTATGTGGGACGACAATTTGTGATTTGAACGAAATAACAATCACAGCTTAGTCCAAAGAAATTTTGAAACTTTGGAGTAACTCTATGTGGGATAACAATTTGTGATTTGCTTCACAACTACCAGAATTATAGGTTATAGTCCTCAGAATTCGGGAATTTAAGAGTACGTATAAAATATTACATGCAAGACGATAACTTGTTATTTGGTTAAAACAGCCAAAATATTATATGCAAGACTATAACCAATCATTTTAACTATTCAACCAAATCACAAATTATCTTCTGTCAAATCACAACTACTCTATGCTGGAAGATACTTTGTGATTTGCTGGAATGGATAAAAAGATAGTCCACATAAATTCGAGAATTTTAGAGCATACAAAAAATATTCTATTCAAGATGACAAAATTATGAGTTATGGTTCACAGAACAAGAATTTTTAAATAGGCATAAAATATTCCCTGCGGCATGACTTATGATTTGATGAAAATGGCCAAAATTATAGGTGAAGTACACAGAAATTCAAGAATTCCTGAGAATGCATAAAATACTATATGCAAGATGAAATTTTTATTTGGTCGAGAATGGCCAAAATCGTGAGTTATATTTCAAAATCTTTTGAGAATTTTGGAGTACCAATAATACATTCTGTGCGAGGTGAGGATTTGTGATTTGGTCAAAAACGACCAAAATTATGAGTTTATTCATAGAAATTCGGGAATTTTGGAGTGCGCATAATATATCCAATTAACTAAAAGTTTCTCAACCTTTTCTTAAGTGGTACATTGTTTACCTTAACTCTCACAAAAAGTAATTACATTTAGAAGGATTATTTGCACTTAAATACGCTAGTATTTATCTCATTTTTTACTTTGATACCCAAAAGTTATTTTATTACCAAAACATACCACAAAGTTCAATAACATTCAACTTTGATACCTCAAACTTTATCTTTTTGCCCACAAAACATACCCCACAGTTTATTAATACCCGAACAAAATTTTTTTGGTTAAATTTTTGCTTGAGTTTGGGGTACCAAAGTTAAATTTTGTTGAACTTTGGGGCATTTTTTGGGGGGGAAACTTTGGGAAAGTTAAAAGAAAGTCAACTTTAGGGTAGTTTTTGGGGTGGAAAACCTTGGGTGTGTCAAAATTCTAAATGGAGTAAACTTCGGGGTATTTAAGTGAAGGTAATCCTATTTAGAAATATAACATACCGAATCAATGGCAACAGCAAAACGAGCTTTTCCATCTCCAACAAACCCTGAGCTAGGGGGAAAAAAGATGGAATATGATCACCAAAAAGTGCAAAACAAACTAACCAAGGAAAAAGCATAAAGAAATTAACTTAATAACCTCTTCCAACATCAAGAATGGATGACAATAACTTAGACGTATCTTTCACATCCTTAAATTCTGTAACAGGCCCCTTCACTGAATCCCTCTGATCACTCCCCAGTTTCAAAATCCGATCTTTCCACCCAAACGGATCCGAATAACAATCCAAAACCCGAACCCTGCCATGAAGCCAACCAAAACTCAACCCCAAACCCTCAGAAACCCTAATCTAACGCCATGAAAACTAAGAAACCTTACAAATCAGCATCAATCCCTTTACTCCTCAGCAAGTTAAAGTAGAACGCCGGGCTCTTACTCAACGCGACGAGAACCAAACCACTGAATCAAACAATTCAAAGAATAGGTAACCAACGCATAGTTCTGAGTTGGGCTAGGGTTTGATTGGAACTGACCGAGCTTGGGATTTCGAGGCGGAGATGTTGGAGGCGAGAGAGGAGAGGAAGTGGTTGAAGGCGTGCGAACCGAGAGGGCTTTGGCGGGAGTCCTTGATGGTTAGGGCTGGGCAGTGCTCTCCTTCGAGAGATCCGTCTCGTAGAGATCTTGAGGTCGCTTCCGCCATTAGAAAACCCTAGTTCTTGAGAGATTATTGGGGGTTTTAGAAGAGAAGAGGAAGCGGCAAGGGTTTTGAAAATTGAGAGGTCTGTTGAGGTCGGGTCAATTTCTTTCCGGGCGGCTTTTTTTTTTTTCTCTTTTTCTCAAAACGAACAATTTTTCACTTCAGCCTCATTTCAATTTTTTTATTTTAAATCGATCCTTTTTTTTATTTATCAAAACCAACCCGATTTTTTGATTAGCAGCTTAATCACCTTCCTAAACAGTCGGGGTTGACAACCCCGACTATTTAGGACATTAATTTTTAGAGTTTAAAGCTTCTAATTAGGATTTAACACCCTCCTAAATAGTCGGGGTTGACAACCCCGACTGTTTAGGAAAGTGATTAAGCTACTAATCAAAAAATTGAGTCGGTTTTGGTAAATAAAAAAAGGATCGATTTAAAAAAAATTAAAATGAGACAGTTTTGAAAAATTGTTCTCTCAAAACTTGTGAGTATTTATGCACCGACATTGAAGCGTATTTGTCTCAAATATTTTGGGGCATTATAAAACTCAAGAAGTCATTCGCAAATGCTACTCACACCAAAAACTATATACTGTAAAGTAATTATAATTTTTTAAAAAATAATTATTTTGAGGTAAAATTTTTGGAACTAGCAAATGAAGATTAAAATAACCTAAATTTGTATTTTTGGCATACCCCTCTAAGAATTCAAAAACCCTGCCTCTGTATAAATGTGATATAAAGGACCATGAGCTTAGCCTCATGGTCTTGGAGTAAAATAAAAATAAAATAAAATCATGGTGAACAACAACCACGACGTCATGTCTGAATCTTGCTTGAGTTATGAATTCAACAAAAAAAAAGGGAAAAAAGGGAAGAAAAAAGGAAAAATACATGAGTTATGGATTTATCCCAGAAAAGGACATAAGAAGAGGGGGAAAGAAAGAGAAGAAAAATGACAGTGAAACACTTCTTACGAATAACTTATACCAAATCTGCATAAAATACACTCAAAATTCCAACATTGCAATTACAAGACCCAGTACAGGAAAAAAGGGGCCAGAGAACTCAAAATTTTGTGGCTCTAACCATAATGCATCCACAGGCCATAAATTACAATCCTCGTTTGCGAGTGTTGTCAGAGTAGCAGCAAACAAATGAAACTCTATCAAGTTATGTATCTCTCATGCTGTTCTTGTAGAAGCCTAGCTGAAGATTTGGCATCCAGATACAGAGCATTCACTTCTTCAACATCAGACTGGTTATGAAATTGAGATAAGAGGTGGATTGTTAAGTGGGGATCAAAGCGAAATGAACGAGTAAAAATATTAATTGTACCATACCTTGCATATTTTATCTCTTCCATTCGTTCTTGCCACGATGCTTGCGGGTGATAGAAGTTGAAGTGCATGCCTAGGAGAGCACATAGCGGATATAGGTATTTGTTTAGTAAGAAAATTCTATATGAAAGTAAATCTGTAAAGATATGCTTTTCTTTCTTAATTCTCCAGAGTTCTGACCCATAATGCAAACACTTCCACCCATATTATCCAAAAGGGGATATTGGGTATGAACAGACACTTCATTTAGCAAAATGACCAATCAAGAGATAGGAAAGGAAAGGTAAGGTCCGCTGTCATGACGTGACTAGCAATCACTAGTCCATCTCTTGATAGTTTATTTAGCAAATGAGTTGCCTCCTCATCCCCATTATTTCATATATCCAAAAACATGTACCGGGCCCACCATAAATTGCGCCCAAGGTATACCAGTATATGATGTGCTTAAGTATACACTTGAGTGTGTATTTTTCAAGGCCAGCAATATTACAAAAAACTCAGTAAATTGAATAATGCATGGATGTTACATGTGGTAGAAGGCCACGTTACTACATGGACGTAAGAGTGGGCTTACACCTCTAACTAATCATATTTATAAGCATCTGCCAAACACAGGCAGAATGCAGGTTTCATGTGAAAATAACAATAGGCTAATATATGAATAAGCAAATGAAAACAAGATAAATGTAGTAGCTGTGAATTTGAAAATTTTTAGTAAGATCGAAGAGCAGGGGGTAAAGATACCACCACCACCACCAACATGTCAACAACAACAAAAACGAAAACAAATCCAGATTATTATGTACTTAAGATTTATATATGAGGAGATTAAAAAATATGTGGTGTATGTAGAAAGTTAAAGGCCAGACCTCCGTCCACAATATCTGTTAAGAAAACAGAACAATAGAACAACAAAGACAAGGACATATAATGACACGAGTCTACGCAAGAGTAACATTACGTTCAAGTTCAACTGCAAGTCACTTTCTTTGACTAAATTATATAGAAAAACGGACACAGCTAGCAGAAGATGACGTTAAAAGACAAAGTACATATAGGGAACTACATGGAATTGAACAGACCTCAAAGATGCTTGTTGTCCAATTTCTCCCAGATAAGCTAGACTTTCTTCATCAATTACCAGCTCTTCAACCTGCGCACGAATGGCCATTATCTGGTCCACATCAACAGATAGTATCAGTCACTAGGAAGTTCATGTTTGAGACCCAATGTAAAAGGACAAAGATAAATGCAAGAACCTGAATCATTTCAGTAGGGCCATAAGTTTCTGTTCGAATTATTACAAGACGATCCAACAGATCTACAGGTATGCCATGTGGACTAGTCATATCAGTTCCTCTGAGAACAACCAAAGAGTTGGTATGAATAACTTCAAATAAGCATAGAAGATTTTTTATGACTTTATTTATGTGCAGGAACAGACCAAACTCAAAGCTATAAAAAAAAACAATAAATAATCAGTTATTGATGCTATTTTGAAATAAACCATCATAATGTTGCTAATTCATACCTTACATTACATATTCCTCGGTTCGTAGCAAATATTACTATCGGCGATATCGAGCTCTCAAGAGCACGATTTAGGTAAGAAAAACATTCCATGTCAAGCATATGAACCTGCGGTTGTGAGAATTAGTTGTTTACTATTAACCATAACAAGAATAAAAACTGTTGAAACTTAGGAGAATAATATACCTCATCGATAAATAGTACACCAGGAACAAGCTCTGCTATCCCTTCGTCAATGTATCTGTTAACCACCTGCCACCCATCCGATTTTTGTTACAGTTAGGGTATCATGTACCAATAATTGGCATAACTTTGGCATTAACTATCTCCATAATCAATGAAGACTGTATAATCTTCTCATTATGGATGGTGGCAGTCAAAGTTGAATGTCACAACCACCACGGGAAGAGGAAGAAATTTTAAGTAAGAACCCCATGTCCAAAAGCGTAAAGACTAAAAACAATACCTTATTGATTTCCTGGCGTAGCTTGTCCGTGATTTCAGTCTTTCTAGGTTTCATCATCTGGCCCATAAGGGATAATATATCCTGCCCACCTTGTGGGTGAGCATTTGCTGCGTCAAGATCATGTAGAGTAACATCCTAATGAAAACGGAAGAAATGTTAATCTTCTAACTACTGTATGAATAAGCCAATGCAGAGAGCTGTAAGACATGAATAATTTAAAATTTGGCCTGGAAAACATAAACCAGCAACTCAACCTGTACTCAATTACCCTTAGAAATGAAAGAATTTATTGTTTACAAGACGGAACTGTTTCTTGTCTTAGAACAAATATGCAATCACGAAGGAGATTTCCCCCAGAAAGATTATCTATCAACTAAGGACCCATCTTTAGGTTGTTTCTATAGCATCCCAAAGTCATGTAAAATGACGAAAGTACTATCAACATGTGCATATATAAATGACATTTGTGACAACAGACTTAACTAAAAGGAAGTGCAGTAGCAAAAGCTGTGATAAAATTGATTAAGACAATATTGTTTTCCTGATGTAGATCAGATCAAATAGAGATCAATGGATTGTTTTAGCAACTTTGGATAACAAGGGATTATGATAAAAAGTTTCACTGCTGTTGTTAGTGAGTCATCTGAAACAGTTTGACCATGTTTGGATGAGTGACTTCAGCAGTGACAGGTTGTGATTGCATGGAATAAGGAAAAAGAAAACGATAGCATGGGCAAAACATATATAAAACTCATAATGAGATGAAATATTTTAGTGGCTAGTAAATAAATCTCCAGCTACAAATTGCAAAATACAAGAACTGGAATTTTTGTAGATTAGTTACCTGTACTATCTCCTTTTTCTTGTGCACCTCTCCCTTAGGAATGGGAACATACTCCTCTGCTTCAAGATCAAATTCTGTAGCGAAAGTATCACATCGACCTACTCTCTTAACAGCACCGCTATTTGCTTCAATGTATATAACATCACCTACAGCAACCTGTAGTTTGGTATTACTGATTCTGAATAGTAAAAAGGAGGACCAGCAAAACCCACAATATAATAATCAAAATAAACATTTCAACAAAGATCAAATGATTGACATGTATAAAGTGCAGTTGATGCATCCTTATAAAGTGCAGTTGATGCATCCTTTATTCGCTGATCCGCCACACAATTTATACAGTAAGAGAAAGAATCAGTTCGAGAGTTCAAGAGGAATGACTCACAAGTCACATGAAATTGATGAACATAATAGAATATTTTTCAATGAAAAAAGGACTTCATTAGAATGTGCTTGCCATGCAACTAGCAAGACTCTCTTAATCGTTGAAAAAGAATTCTTAGAACAATCCTTCTATATTAAAGGGAAAAACCAATCCTTTATTACTTTTGATATGATAAAAAAGATAATGGTGATTGAAAAGCAAGATTAACGCAAGCAAAACCAAACATGCAGTACCATCAGAGAGAGAATGTGTGTGTAAGTGTCCATGTGCGGGTCACTTGAGTTTAGAGGGACTGGATAGCATGGGAGAGAGAGCTGAATAGAGACAGGAGTGAGGGTGGAACACACTTGACTTTGCATCATAAATTCGGCGATCCTTGTAAGTATCAGGTCCATATGATAATTACCTTTTCCTTAATCAAAGCATCATAAATCGTCGGATCCAACTTGAGCTGTTTTGTTCCTTTTACAGTCTTCAGACCAATAATTATGTGACTGATGCTTTTCCCATATCCGCCTGTTGTACTCTCAGCTTCTTCTGGTGAGAGTTCAGTAACCTGAAATATAGGCAGGCACCAATCAACAACTAGAGCAACACATGAGGAATCACAAACACATTTCAGTGTGGGGGCTACAAATCACAGCTGTTAAAGCTAAAGTTCAAGAAAGAAGCAGACAATAATCAAGTTCAAGAAAGAAGCAGGCAATAATCATACCTCTCCTTCATATACTTCCTTGTTTTCCTTAATACGCAAACCTATAGCCCTCCGAAAATTCTCCATAAGTACCTCAGTTTTTTTAACCTCAGACGAATACACCTCTGATCCAACCATTGGACAGAATGGTACCTATAATTCAATTCAAAACAAACTTACTCATGAAAGAATAGCAATGGTACAATTAAGTGAGATTGAAATGACACAGCATATAATAGCCAAAGAAATAGCAGTTGCAATACTAATAATAAAAATAATTCACATCCTATGTGTGTTTTGTGTGTGTGTGTCACCAAGAATGATGTCTTAGATTCATTTTATGGTCAAATAGTAAAAATTTTAAAAAAAAATGGAAGACACAATCCCAAATTTCAGCAGTTAGGTGCATAAAGCATTTTTCTACTTAACTCTATTAGCAGTCTCTCCATTAAATTAACAACTACCATATCCTTTTTTCATTGATCCATCATATACTCCTCTTAACTGAGGCATTCATCTGCCTCACATGTCCAGACCGCCTCAAATCATCTCCCAGTCATATTCTCTGTTGAAGTTAATTTTAAACAAATATAAAAATTGACTTATTACAAAATTGTTCATATAAAGACCCAATATAAATTTCAATGAATGACTTACCTTCAGCTAGGAAAATTTAATCATCAACAATACAAAATACAACAGGATAATAAACAAAACTTTTCTATAAAATTCCAATTACAGATACAATAATTACCATACAAGATTGTGAGTACCATCTATTTTTCAAGAACCAGGATGGAACTTAGTGCACGTCCGCCAGGCTTAAAAGAAAGAAAACACATACGAAAAATGATGATATCTTTCCATGAAGGCTGCTTATTTGGAACTCAAAGCTCATTCCAAAAGCCTCTTAATAAATAAAAGAACCTTAAATTTATGTTGTAGGAGTTGTTTCTATTGATTAATTTTACCCCTTTGATTTCAAATCGAGCTTCATATTTAACATTTTCTAGAACTCATCTCATCGGAAAGCTTGCTTCCTACTCTACATTCTTCAAAACATAAAAGACTTGCTAGTATAAACAAACACTTAGTTGATATCAGGAAAAACAAAAAGAGTATTATTAATTATTATGATTCTCAATGACACAGGAATAAGTATGCTATCTTGTTTTTCCATAGGTTTCCCATTTGGGATTCTTAGCTCATTTCTAAGGCCTTACATTAAATAATAGAACCTACAGGCAATTTCCATAGATTTACTCCACTCCTTTGATTTCATAATTACAGGGCTTTAAAATTAACATTTCCACACAAAAAACAAAATTTACTATGATTTAACTAGAAAAATCAATCAAAAAGTAAATTGATGTAAAAAAATTTACAAGGAAGAGAACTTTTACCTTGCTCCCTATCTCCTGAGCAATGCCGAGTGCTAGTGCAGTCTCCAGTGCTCGGTGGAACCAGCAAGTAGAAGTGCCCTTCCCGCCATTTTTTCTGCCGTTATCATGTCCACCACCAGCCTGCCGCCTCCCGGGCCCCACCCCACGAACCCAGCCGACAAACGAATAGCATTTCCATTCCCCTTCACAAAATTAACTAAAAATAGCATCAAACCCCAAAACCCTATAAATCTTGAATAGAGAGAACAAGAGAGAACGCCATTGACAAACCAAACGAGAAAACACAGTATTAAATCCCCTAAAATTGCAAACGAATGACATTCTCATTCTCCTTTATATATATCTACACACACGCACGCACGCGTGCACGTGCACGCGCGCAGTGCCTTCATAACTACATTATATGCTATCAAATTACTCGATCAACTCTGCTCATTTTGATTCATATATTCTAGATTGTACACAAACAAAAAATTATCCATATTGGGTTGTAGTAACAAAATATAAAAAACACACTCCAATTACCCTTCGACTAATATTAGCTAAAAACAGCATCAAAGCCCTAAAACCCTAAACCTTAGAAATATTGAAGCGAGAGAGAGAGAGCGAGGGATTACAGTCGAGGCCCCGAGGCTTGATGTGAGTCTGAGTGCAACGCGCTGCTTCTTTCGTCGTCTGACTGAACCTCTTCGATCCTCATCTATCTCTACTCTCTCTCTTCCTTTGTTCTTTTCGATTCTGTGTCGGGGTTTTTGTTTTTTTTTTTTTTTTTGGAGGGGGGCGGGGGCTGCGCTGTTTAACGGCGGTTCAGTCGTCTTTAAAAGTGCTCAGTGAGCCTTAAATATTGGAAAGCATTTACACGGTTGTCGTCTTCGCTTGGACTGGCCTCTTTTTAATAGATGGGGCCCTTTGCGCGTCTGTGTTTAATAAGATATTTTTCTTGTCAATATTATTAGCCAATAAATTAGTCCTATCATCGGACCACTAGGAGAATTCTTAAACGTCGTCCGAATGTCTCCAGAGTCAGCATTTCCCTACAGGAGAGCTAAACTACACCGTGTGCGGATCACACGTTGATATGGACCCATCTATGGTTGATAAAAGTAGCAAAATTTTAGTCAACAGGAGGGGAATAAACTTGTAAAGCTGATTTTTACATTTACTAAGTGTAGAGCTTGTTTTTGCATGTAAGCAAAAGATAGAAGTAAGAAGGTGACTTGATTTTTTAATGTTTTAGATGTTTGTTTAGGTACAAGTGGTCACACAAAGTGAAACGGTGGTCACATACGATTTAATTCAATTTTGACTTCTCTAAATAAGTGCTGAATCCACGTGAAAGTGACAAAAATGATAATAATTTTTAATCAATCGTATTTTCCCAATCATTTTCACGTTGCATTTTTAATAATAATTTCATTTTTAGACAAACATTGTATCTTGCTTGTATACTAATGTGAATATGAAAGTTATTTGAAAAAAAAAACTCACGCATTATTAATTCACTTTTGAATTGGCAAACACCCTCTTAACATTCAACCTTGAGGTCAGTGGATATAATTTTTTGTCTACAAGAGAAAGTGAGTAATAATGGACTATAGGTCTACAATATTGAATAATGTTATTAAATCTTTTATTTTGTTCATAACTATTTTGATAAAGTTTCATTCTCATTTTATTTCTTTGTAAAATCTATAATTTAGTAGCTTTGAATTTGCCTATGACGGTTTTCATATGCAGTGTGCCACATGCACCCTAAAGCTTTACCAAATATCAAAAATTCGAATTTACTTAGCATTTTCTGTCTGATAAAATATAATCTAAAACATTCAAATGTAAAAACATACATGACTCAACAGTATAAGATATAGATGAATGATAGCGATGCCCATGACATAAATTAAATGTAAGAGATTGAGAAATAGAGACCTAAAGACAACAAAATTTAAAAAAAAAACAAAATTTACCTGACAATGATACACAATGATGTTATTTTTTTAATTCTCAAAACAAAAAACAAACAAAAAAAAACACGATTCAACACGCAAAAATACAAAACTCTTACAAAAAGGCATACATTTTCTCACGTGATTCAAGTTTCATTCTCATTTTATTTCTTTGTAAAATCTATAATTTAGTAACTTTGAATTTGCCCATGACGGTTTTCATATGCAGTGGGCCACATGCACCCTAAAGCTTTACCATTTATCAAAACTTCGAATTTACTTAGCATTTTCTTTCTGATAAAATATAATCTAAAACATTCAAAAGTAAAAACATACATGACTTAACAATATAAGATATAGATGAATGATAGCGATACCCGTGATATATAAATTAAATGTACGAGATTGAGAAATAGAGACCTAAAGACAACAAATTTTTTAAATAAAAACAGAATTTACCTGAAAATAATACACAATGATGTTTTTTTAAATTCTCAAAACAAAAACAAACAAGCAAACGAAAAAAAAACATGATTCAACACGCAAAAATACAAAACTCTTACAAAAAGGCATACATTTTCTCACGTGATTCACGTTCCCTATATATCCTCATTCCCCGCTATGAGATGAAAATCCCGCCCTTCTCACTTCTCCGTCAACCACAGCTAACTTCAAATAATAAAAATAATAATATCTCCCCATTCATAATACCGAACGCCGTCATTTTCTAGGGTTTCGACCTCTGATCCCCCTTTTGGGGGGCGAAATCTGTAAATTATGGATTGGCGATCGAGGTATGGCGGCGGATGGGCGAGGCGAGCGATCGGGCGAGCTCATGTCAGAGGTGAGGCCAGAAATCTTGGAGTTTTAGGGTTTAATTTGTTGATTATTACGGTGTTTTAGATTAGGGGTTAGGATTTATGATGCCTGTTTCTTTTAATTTGATTTCTATTTTTATGGCACTTGAACGATGAATTGCTATTTATTTCTGTAGCTGGTCGGTTAATTAGCTACAATCTAGCGAGTTATTCACTCTTTAATCAGCTTAATAGTTATTTATGATTAAAATCCCTTTTTGGTACAGTACTCTGTCGTCGAAGCAGATTATTCCCATATTTTTGGGTTGTAAAGTAAACTCAAAGAGGCAGTTGATGTAATTGGGTCATTTCATCACCTGCAAGCTTTTGATGGATTTATCGGGAATGCCTAATAATTGCCTCGACGGAGATACTAGCTCTGATCATCGGACACTTGTCTGCGTTAAAGATTTGAGAGTGTTCAACGCATCTAGATACGACACACAAGTCCATTTGTGTGCGAGACTTATCAGTGTGTAAACTATTATTCACCTAGAATTTACGTTTTAGATGAAGTATGTTATGTCCTTGAAAAAAGTTTATTGTTTTATGAATATTCTACCAAAAGTAACAATCCAACAATATGTGTATGAGTCTGAATAGGCATATATGCAGAAGAAATATAGATTTATAACTGCGCTCTCGTGGATGGATTTCAGAAAGTTAATGTGTTTGACATCTCGGGTCTGTTTTGAGGTAGGGTACTTATCTCTATATCTACAAATCATAGGATTTTAGTATTGAGAGATTATTCCGCATGTTTGATGCTGAAGAGAACTGATCTCGATGGCGAAGGCGGCGATCGTTGGAGACGGAGGCAAGCGAACGGCGACGGCGGGGAGAGGCGAGGGCATGATGGATCTCGCCTGCGTTGCCTTAGATCTCGCTTGAATCGAGGAGATGAAGACTTCGCCCGCGGAGCCAGAGATCGCCTGCGGGCGAGCAGTTTCGTGGACCTCGTCTGTTCGAGTGCTAGCGGATCGAGCCAGGAGCGAACTCGCCTGCAGGCGTTGGAATTTCGCCTGTGTGATTTCGCCCGCGTGGGTGGGATCCAGCTGGATCGCACAAACTATCCTAGGATTTCCCTATAAAAGGGAAACCATGTTCACGAGATCAGCGAGCAATGTTTCGTGATTTTAACAGAAGAGGATTTCTTCTGTAGTGGTGACGGCTTTTATCTCCAGCGAAAATTCTCAGTTGATTTGAGAATCAATTTTTTGATTAAGAAAAATTGCACAAATCCTGTAGCATTTACTACACTGACGAATTGGTGTTGTGAGAGATCTCAAGTTTGAGATCCTCTCTTTTATAAGCTTTGTAATTTCTTGTGGTTAAATAAAAAATTAATTGTGTGGCTCCCGTAGACGTAGGCAAGTTTGCCGAATCACGTAAATTTGTTATCTCATCTCATTTACTTACTATTTATCCGTGTAGTTGTTTATTGCTTATATTAGTTGGTTTGAGTTTGGTTTAAACTCAAGCTCAAGTTGTTTTCTCTTAGGATTAATTTAGCTTCCGCGGCGGTGTGGGCGTCTCGCTCCCAACAATTGGTATCAGAGCCCTTGTTCAGATGGAGGTGGTAAAATTTTCGATTTGAGGTGGTGCTTGATTATTATTGAAATTACTGAGAGAACTGGATTTATTAATACAAGCGGAGAATGACATCTATAAGTAAAACAGTTAAAGTGAGAAAGTATGAGATCGAGAAATTCAATGGGAAGAATGATTTTTCTTATTGGAGGATGCAGATAAAAAATCCATTAATTTCGTAAGAAATTACACAAGGCTTTGGCGGGGAGAGAAAAGAAGCACAAAGATATGTCTGATATGTGAAGAGTTAGATCTCGAAGCACGAGCGTCGATTATCCTATGTCTTGAGAGATATGTTGCTTTCTTGTAGATGGAGAGGAAACGGTTGCGGGCGTGTGGTTGAAGTTGGAAAGCACCTTCATGACGAAGAGTCTAACGAATCGGATCTATTTAAAATCCAAATTGTATACTTGCAAGATGGAGGAAGGATCATCAATCCGGGAATACATCAACAAGTTCGATAGGATCTTATCGGATTTGAAAGATATTAAGATGACAGTGGAAGACGTGGATCAGGCACTTCTACTACTTCTATCTCTGTCGAAGTCTTATGAGAATCTGGTTCAAACACTGATGTTTGTGGGTGACAGTTTATCGATGGATGAGACTAGAACGACGCTTCTAGTGGATGATCTTCGAAAAATTACAACTAGTGATATGGCCACTGGTGGTAACAAAGAACAAACGCAGGGGTTTTTACCAGAGGAAGGGGCAATGAGCGAGGAAAAGGCAAGAGAGGAAAGCCTAGATCAAAATCAAGACCTATTACGGAAAGACCGGGTTTCAAATATGGTAAACTAGGGCATTTCAAAGTCAATTGTCCTAACAAGAGAGTAGGTGGGAAGAAGAACAACAATAAGACTGAAAGACGAGAAGGCAATGAAAAGACGAGCTACACTTCAGGGGAAGGGAGCGATAAGGAATGCTATGTCGTCACGAGTGACAATGATACCTTCGGGAAGTGGATACTTGATTCTGGTTGCTCTTACTATATGCGTCCAAATAGGAAGTGGTTTACTACCTATAGGAGCATTGATGCTAGAACCTTATTGATGAGGAATAACCATTCTTGTAAAACGATGAGGCTAGGTGATATCAAGATCAAGATGCATGATGGAGTGATTCGAACCTTAATGGATGTAAGGTACGTTCCCGACTTGTGAAAGAATCTTATCTTAGTTGGTGTTTTGGACTCCGAGGGCTGCAAGATTGTAACAGAGAACGGAATGAAGAGGGTTATTCGGGGTTCCTTAGTAGCGATGAAGGATATTCGTCACGGTAACCTATATACTCTCTTGGGTACGACGGTGACAGGAGATGCAACTGTTGGAACTGATGGAAGTGATGGAGACCCATGTGAGCACACACGGTTATGGCATAGGAGATTTGGGCACATATCAGAGAAGGGTCTAGATCTGTTCGGTAATGATGGTTTGTTGAAGAATCTGAAGAAGCCTTGCATGAATTTTTTACGAGGACTGTGTGTATGGAAAGGCACACAAGGTCCGATTTCTGACAAGCAATCACAAGAGCAGAGGGATACTAGATTATGTGCACACGGATGTTTAGGGTCCAGCTTCGACAACTTTCAAGGGTGGTTCCAGATATTTTTTCACATTCATAGATGATCATTTAAGGTATACTTGGATTTATTTTCTAAAGCATAAGAATGAGGTATTTGAGACATTCAAGAAGTGGAAGGCGATGATTGAGAACAAGACAGGAAAAAAATTAAAGACATTAAGATCTAACAACGGTATAAAGTATACAGATGGTGCCTTCAAGGAGTTCTGTGATCAGGAAGGAATTGCCAGACATTGGACAGTTAGATCTACACCACAGCAAAATGGGGTCACGGAAAGACTGAACCGAATACTATGGGAGAAAACAATGAGTATGCGATCATATGCTGGTTTGGATAAAGAATGATGGACAGAGTCAATTGCTATAGCTTGCTATATTATGAATCGATCCCCACATTCTATATTGGATGGTGATACATCCTATCGGGTATGGTCAGGGGAGCATGCAGATTATGAGAGGCTCCGAATTTTCGGGTGTACCGCCTACTATCACGTCAACAAGGGAAAGCTTGACGCGAAGGCTAAGAAGATAATTTTCTTGGGGTATGCAAAGGGTGTAAAAGGCTATCGCCTCTGGTGTACAGAAGATTCAAAGTTCGTGATCAGCAGGGACATTACCTTTGATGAGAAGTCTATGATTGCTAGGGTGCCCAAGGATGATGGTGCTGAGATTATTAGGAATTCTAAGTCCCAGGTTATTGAGATAGAACCTAAAGACCAACTAGGTTCTAGTTGTGTTCAAGTGAGAAATCAGGTAGATGATGAGCTTGAGCAGAAGGAGGTTCGACAGGAGAATACACAGGCACTACAACAACAGCAGCTCGAGGATAGCTTGGTTTTCACTAGGCCAATACAAGCATACAAGCAAGTACAGTAGCTGGTGGCTGATCAACCCCTGAAACACTATGGGCAGGTTAATTTGGTTGAGTACGCATTTTCGTTGGAGGAAGATGAGCTGGTCTCCTTTAAGGAAGCTATTCGGGATAGAAATAACGAGAGTTGGTTGGCTGCGATGGAGGAGGAGATGGAATCACTCCGGAAGAACCAAACATGGGAGGTGGTCCTATTGTCCGTAGGACAGAAAGCTATAGATTGTAAGTGGATGTATAAAAGAATGAAAGATCCTTCCGAGCTCGGCGGTACAAGGTACAAAGCCAGGCTAGTGACTAAGGGGTTTGCACAAAGAGAGGGTGTAGATTACAATGAGATCTTTTCTTCGGTGGTAAAACACACTTCTATTCGGGTGCTATTGAGTATTGTTGCTCATGGTGATCTTGAGCTGGAATAACTTTATGTCAAAACGGTCTTCTTGCACGGAGACTTGGAGGAGGAAATCTATATGCATCAGCCTGAGGGTTACAAGGTAAAACGGTCTTCTTGCACGGAGACTTGGAGGAGGAAATCTATATGCATCAGCCTGAGGGTTACAAGGTTGAGGATAAGGAGAATCATGTATCAGCCTGAGGGTTACAAGGTTGAGGATAAGGAGAATCATGTATGTCGCTTGAGGAAATCACTTTATGAATTGAAACAATCTCCTCGGCAGTGGTACAAGCGATTTGACTCATTCATGCTAAAGCATGAGTTCTCCAGAAGCGAATATGACTGTTGCGTCTATATTCGGAAGCTTCATGGAGGTGATTATATTTATCTCCTTTTGTATGTGGATGTCATGCTTATTGCTTCCAAGAGCAAGGTGGAGATAGATAGACTGAAATCTTAACTTGGTAAAGAGTTCGAGATGAAAAACATGAACGCTGCTAAGAAAATACTGGGTATGAAGATTAGAAGAGAGCTGGCGAATCGACGATTGTTCTTGAGTCAGAAGGGCTACATAGAGCGGGTGATCGCGAGACTTAGGATACAAAGTGTTAAGTCAGTGGTGACTCCGTTAGCCCTATATTTCAGGCTCTCGGGTAAACAATCTTTCACTACAGCGGAAGAGAAGACACGCATGAAACGTGTTCCTTATGCTAGTGTAGTTGGCAGTTTGATGTACGTCATGATGTGTACACGTCCACATATTTCACAGGCGGTTAGTGTGGTCAGCAGATTCATGGCGAATCCGGGAAAGACGCACTGGAAAGCGGTGAAATGGGTCCTGAGGTACTTGAAAGGTACCGCGGATACGAGTCTGTATTTTGGTGGAGATACGTGTCAGATTGATGGGTTTGTGGGCTCAGATTATGCGGACGATCTAGATAGACTGCGATCTACTACTGGTTATGTATTCAACATACATGGGGCTCCAGTTAGTTAGCGATCGATGTTACATTCTACAGTGATACTTTCTACTACAGAGGCTGAGTACATGGCCATGATTGAAGGAGTGAAAGAAACATTATGGCTGTGGGGTCTTCTAGATGATTTGGGGATTGAGCATGATAGTGTGAACTTGTGGTGCGATAGTCAGAGTATGATTCATTTGGCTAAGAATCAAGTTCATCATGCTCGTACCAAGCATATCGACGTCAGGTATCATTTTGTGCGGGATCATGCTCGTACCAAGCATATCGACGTCAGGTATCATTTTGTGCGGGATGTCATAGAGGAAGGTGATATTTCTCTCATGAAGCGTCAGGTATCATTTTGTGCGGGATGTCATAGAGGAAGGTGATATTTCTCTCATGAAGGTGCACACGAAACAGAACCCAACAGACATGCTAACCAAGGTGGTCACAGGTAGTAAGTTTCAGTATTGCTTGGACTTGCTTAATATCAGCCCATGTTGGTCCGCCCAAAAGGGAAATAACAGAACTACGGTTAGCTTGATCCCGGTGGAGGGTACATAGGCAGTCGCGATATAGTGACGCAGCTGGTTTGGTCTGATTTGACCTGGTTGGTATTCGCGGTGTTATTCTGGTGTTCGTCCAAAATTTGAGGTTTATCAAATGATGGACGAGGTGATGAATTGAAGAGAATTGACCTCGACAGCGACGACGACGATCGTCGGAGACGGAGGCAGCGAACAGCAACGATGGGGAGAGGTGAGGGCATGATGGATCTCGCCTGAATCGAGGAGATGAAGACTTCGCCTGCGGGCGAGGAGTTTCGTGGACCTCGCCTGTTCGAGGGCGAACGGATCTCGCCAGGAGCGAACTCGCCTGCGGGCGTTGGAATTTCGCCTGTGTGATTTCGCCTGCGTGGGTGGAATCCAGCTGGATCGCACAAACTGCCCTAGGGTTTCCCTATAAAAGGGAAACTCTGTTCACGAGATCAGCGAGCAATCTTTCGCGATTTTAACAGAAGAGGATTTCTTCTGTGGTGGCGACGACTTTTATCTCCAGCGGAAATTCTCAGTTGATTTGAGAATCAATTTTTCGGTCAAGAAAAATTGCACAAGTCCTGTAGCATTTACTACAGTGACAAATTGGTGTTGTGAGAGATCTCAAGTTTGAGATCCTCTCTTTTATAAGCTTTGTAATTTTTTGTGGTTAAATAAGAAATTAATTGTGTGGCTCCCGTGGACGTAGGCAAGTTTGCCGAAGCACGTAAATTTGTTTTCTCATCTCATTTACTTACTGTTTTATCTGTGTAATTGTTTATTGCTTGTATTAGTTGGTTTGAGTTTGGCTTAAACTCAAGCTTAAGTTGTTTTCTCTTAGGATTAATTTAGCTTCCGCAGCGGTGTGAGCGTCTCGCTCCCAACAGATGCAACGTGTTTTATAAAGGAATTCCAACATTTAGTCCATGTTTCTGGATTAGTTGTCTTAGCTGTCTCAATGGTTCATATAAATCAAGAAGTACAAACTGCTGGCAGAAAGTTATAGGATCAAGTCTTTCGATAAGAACTTCATATTTGCTTTTCTATTTATGGCATTTAGCCTAATAACTGATGTCCTTTTCGGTTCCATGTACCTTTTCTGCAAAAGTTGGAAGGAGCTTAAGTATACATGGCTTTCCTGAATATTTTCACTGACCTAACTGCCACCTGGCATCCCATGTTTTATTTAGAGGTTTCTCTTGTTCCATAAGGTCGAGAGCCTCTAAACCGGGTCAGTTAGTGTCTAGTGGTTTCCCAAGATTGAGCTCCATCACTTATTCCTTTCCTTCAGTGAAATGTTAGGATAATGGATTATGAGTTTAGTTATCCTAGCAATACATGGGTCTGCAAACATGTCGTAGTAGTTG